GGCTCCTGCCTGCTGCTGCAGGATCCTACTGCTCCTGCTTCCTGTCATCTTTGACAGGCAGCCAGGAGCAGATAAATATTTTTCTAATCTTTTTATGGGTCCTGTTGGTTGCATAGAATGGCCTGGTGGATCGTATTTTGCTCACCTCGATGGCCTAGTGGATTGTATTTTGCCCACCTTGATATAGACAGACCTAATGATTGTAAATATATTGATGGATACTGATATAAGCTAGCTGACAACTCTTGTCTGAATAATTCTATAGTAAAAATGTTCCCACTTGAGCCCCAATTCACTCCGGGGTTTTTAGAGTGATTTAGCTAACTGGTACTTCATGCAGAAGTAACAGATTATAACATTCTCTGTTATCCCAAGCAGCAGTCCTCCCTCTCTTTTTTTTTTTTTTTTAAAGTAGCTGAAAAGTACATTTGTCTGTACCCTGTTGTATCACTCTTCATTACAGAGGTTGAGTTTTCTGCTCCCCATAGATGCATGGCAATTTAAGCCTCTGGGCATCAGACTTGTCGAATCACTGCTGTTGGCAGCATACACTACAAGAAGCTGTACTGATATCTTTTCTGCATTTCTGTGGTAGCATCTTCTGAAGTCTATGCTATGCCAACTGGGCTTGGAAAAGTAAAGCAGAAAAAAGAGTTGGAAAAATTGGGCAGACAGATGAATTAGTTTAAAACCACTATTATGTTGGCCAGCGTGACATGACCAAGAAAAAGATTGCAGAGGAAGCAGATAGAACCCCTTGCATGCTACATGCATGGCGGACAAACTGGAGTGTGGGGGAGTTTTTTCTTTCCCAGTCATCCTTGTTGAACGCTAGAGCTGTGGCAGTCTTTCCTTTTTATGAGGATAAAACAGAAGCTGTCTAGCTCTGTTTAGACCGTTCTTCCTCAGCACTAGAAACAATTTTCTCAAGTGTTTACTATTCTGATAAATGTTTTGACACATCTTGGGATTGTACCGTTTAAAATTGGGTCTGAGAGCTCCAACAGCTCTTGATCAAGTTGTTCCCTATTTATACTGCCACAAATGAGATAAGAATCAAGTCTTGTACATATCTGTTATAACCACAAAGATACTTTATTTGAAATATAAAAATGGTCTGATTCTCTCCCCAGCTGCACCTGTCAACCCAGGAAAAAGTTACAATGAAAGTAAAATGGGCATGGTTCAATATGTAGAAGGTCTACTAAAAAGAATGTAAAATACTTTACTGTGTTTTAAGCCACTTACTTTCTTGTATTTTTTTCTGCTATAGATGGCTTCAATGAAGATGTTCCAGATTCAGTTCCATACAGGTTTTGTGCCTCGAAATGCCACCACAGTGAAATTTGCCAAGTAGGTTGATGCTCTGTTGAATACAACTAGCAAAAGTTTTTTACTTTCAGATTTATTTAATGTGCCAAATACCAGATTTAGATAGTGAAGGGACATGTTTGATTAATGTAGCAAATGAATAGCATTCATTTTAACAAAGTGAGTTCTACCTTTTGTGCTTTGTTTGAATTAACACCTCTTGATAATGTTGTCATTTTCCCTTCTAATAACCTGTGAAATGTCTTTGAACAAAATACCCCTTTAAAATTAGGAAGAAAAAAATGAGTGCAGTTGGTTTTCAGCTTTACCAACCAATCCCACAGAACTGCTAGTTACTTGAAATTATCTTTCTGAAGGCGGTGGGATTAACCAAACTGATTGAATAATTGCTCTGAAAGTTCTTTAACTTACATTTGCAGGCAAGGTACTTTGAGTAGATGTGATAACTTTTATTAGACCAACTGAGTAGTTGAAAAAATGTTCTTGGCAAGCTTTTGGATGCAATTGCCCTTTTTAAGGCATAGGGAGTCTCTGCTGGTTTGAGACTCCAAGGAAAGAGGAGCTAAAAATGTGGCAGGAAACCCAGTTAACCTACATTTTGTTTTACAGGTATGATTTGGATGCTTGTGACATTCAAGAGAAGTACCCAGACTTATTTCAAGTGAATCTGGAAGTGGAGGTGGAGCCTAAGGACAGACCTAGTAGTGAACGAGCACCATGGGATAACTTGAACATAAAGGGACTCAATCCAAAGATCCTTTTCTCCAGCCGGGAGGAACAACAAGAGATTTTATCGAAATTTGGTAAAGTGTACCTCTAAGCTATCCCTTGCTAATCATAGGAAAAACTTCCTTTCCCTCTACTAATTGGCTGAGCTTTTTCTCTTTTTTTTTATCGCTTCATTTTAATGGATTCTAGCATTTTACATAAATGGCCTGTTTTTACACATTATATTTATCAAGACTTTCCTTAGTTTAGGAGTGTCATGCTTAATTTTTCTTTCTTCTAATTCACTTAACTTCCATTGCTGTCTAAGGTATCTCTCTAAATTTGTTTCTTGCTTTGTTCCCTAATTTTCTTGTTCCTGACATTTGCAGGAGCAATGTCTGGTATTACTTATCTGTACTCTCTTTTTGTGTGCTATTTTCTGTGTGTTTCTTAATTTATTTCATACTTTCATCAGATGATCTTTTGAGGTCCCTTGCAGCCCTTAATTTCTGTGATTTGTAACTAGAGTCTTGCCAGCATTGCAGTTATAACAAAGCCAAATCCTCTTACATGGCTTTATTTATAGTGTGTAGGCATTTTTTGAGGCTTTTTTTTTTTTTTTAAAGAATTCTAAATCTGCCTTTTTCACGTTCGTGCTGAATCAAGGTCACTTCTGCCCTTTTCAGTTATCTTCTTAGATGGGCATATTTTTGCTATGCTTGTGTGTGATTTTTAATCCTTGTTGCTATGTCCTACCTTTTATATTGAACTCTAGTTTATGGCCTTAAGGTTTACTAATGTTACTTAGGGTCAAACTGAGTTTTGCAGATTGTTTCCCAACATATGTCAGTTGGAGCATAAAATACTTAACTTTAATCCCCAGGATGAACCCAGTTTTTTCTGATTTAGGGAAGAAATGACCATACTTTAAACTGAATTGCATTCCTACTCCTCCAGTTGGTGTAGAGTCCTTGTTTTATGAGAGGCTGTGTACCTGCTGTTAAGCCCATTCCAACTACTTCTATAAAATACCCTTTAGTTCAGTGTTTGCCATTAGTTAGTGAGACACTTGGAAGACGGTATCTCCAGCCGTCTTAGTACAGCATTGTTGTATACCTCCTTCCTGGATGGTGGTTCTCAGTAGTACCTTTATGCTCTAACAAACTAACAGGCAACTAACAAATTTTTATCCTGTGATGCATTTTTTTGGCTGTTGTATTATGGAAGGAGGAACACTGAGTGAATGAATTGTGCTCTGTAAATTAAATTTCCTTACTGTTTTTAATCTATTCAGTATAGTACCAGTATGCCTTTAATAACTAACTAATAACTTAAAACAAAAAGGAAATTACTTTAAAATTGATTTAAACCAGTTTAAATTATAAAATAAGACATAACTCTATGGGAATAAGCTTGATATCTGACTTACATTTTATTTCTTAATTGCTATGTAGGTTATTCCTGTGGCTATGTAGGTTATTGCCTCTAAATAGAGGCAATAGAGGTTATTGCCTCTAAAGAACAATCCTCTGAAGAATTGTTCTTTAGAGGCAAACAGTTACTTCATAGATGCTTGAGTCCATTGCCAAATATTGCATGCAAAGTTTGTCAGTCTAAGCTAATTTGATGTTGGCAGTCTGTCTGAGATTCTTGGCTTGAAATTCCACCTAATAGGTAAACCTGAGCTACCTAGACAACCAGGTTCAACAGCACAGTATGAAGCAGAAGTATCCAAATTGGAACAATCTTCAGAAAACATATCTACGGAGCCAGACTCTTCACACAGCAGCAGCGCTGAGACAAATAACTTCTTCCACACTTTGGACTGGCAAGGTAGTTAAAGCTACCTCTTTATTTCCTGTACAACACATCAACTGCTGTCCAAAGATTGTTCCCAGGTCCCTTACGAAGGATAGATTTTAATCGCTTAGGATTTGATCATAAAATAATCATTTTAAAATAAATGAGCTTTCCAGGCTTGTAAAAATCAATTGCTCAGCCTCATTTGAGATCACTAAATAAAGCAATGGTGGTCTGCTGTGTGTGACAGATAAGACATTCAAGGCACTCTCCTCTCTGCTGTATGGATGTTGATTCTAAAAGTCTTGGCTTTAGTCATTCTGCTGCAGCCTCTCTTGGAGCTGTCTTAAGAGTGGAGCAAGCAGGCAATGTCTAAAACTGGGACTGAAATGTTGCATTCATAGGGCCCTGGCAGGTGTTTATATTTGTCCCACCATATCAACTGTTCTAATGCCATAAAAAGGAACTGGTCATATGTTCATGTTTTGCTTTTTGTACTTAACTGACTGATTTGACATGCATGTTGGATGCATGACAAATTGCTGTTTTGAACAGCAACTTCATTTTCTTTCTGGGATAAATTTAGCATGTAATCAGGTGTAGAGACCCCCCACTATCCCAGAGTGCTTGGTTTGCCTGCCTGCCTTCCTCCCTGGCTTCTTCCCTGGGAGAGCAGCTGGCTGCCTGATGGCCTACCCAGTTGGGATCTGTCAAAGCCCTGTAGGGACAGCTTCTGGGCAACCCTGTCTTGTTTGCCACCTGGCAGTGTAGACAAGGCTGCAGCATCTCACTTCCATTCTTTTTTCCAACAGAGAAGTTTAACTTTTTTTTGTGTGGTGCTATTAGTTCTACATGTTGTAGATGATGGGGACTATCCTTTATAGCCATGCTTCTGATCCATCTATTCTTGGCAGTCAGTTTTGCTGCTACCTTAGGTTTGCTTATGGCAAAAGGAGTCTGTCTCTGACAGCTGAAGGAGGTGGATGGTTCAGGTGGCATTTGTGGCAGGTGTCCAGCAAGAGCAGTTATAGGGCAAAACTGAAAGAATTTGGTGTGTCCCATCTGTCCTTCCCTTTCTCCCCCAGCATCTTGTAGGCAAGGCTATCTAGTGTTTGTTCCCTTTCCATGTCTCTTCTGGTCTTTTTGTGAAAGGAATTTTGTTTGAAGTCTTAACTCTCACATTTGAGCCTAGTTATTTCTTGGCCAAGCAGAAGAGTTCTGCTTACTTAAAATGATTTTAAAAAATATCAGCCTCTTTTTTTTTTCTTCATCAGAAGGAAAAAGTCCAGAGACCGGAATCAAGGACCACTTATCCAAAGACAGTCATCTGGGACTAACAGATGACAGGGGTGAGAGTGAGCCTTCAGATGATGAGTTTGCTACAGTTTCTAATGAAGGGATGGTGGAGTTAGCTGAAGAAAAAGAAAAACCCACTTCAAGAGAAGATTTACTTTTTGAAGCCAGTTTTGAATCTCCACCTGCCCAACCACAAGAATCTCTTCCAGAAGAGAAAGTGGATTTATTAGGGCTAGACTCTGATGTTCCCCAAGAACAGAATCCTCCTACCTCGGAGATGAATTCTTCATCTAGCAATGCAGACCTACTGAACAATTTGTTGGTGGACAGCACATCTCAGGCTTCAGAAGAACCTACTGGAGATCTTCTGGGACAAGGGGAAGACTTCTTTTTCAGCAGTCAGTCTCATCCCTCTGTCAATGCCCAGACTACATCTTCAACAGTAGTGGCGTCTTCTGCAGGTATGTAATGTAACGCACACTTTTTTTAACCTCATAGATCTATGGCAGTCTGGCACCAGAATCTATAAGTGGAATTTGTTTAGCCTATTCATAGATTTCATAGATTTTTTTTTTTTTAGGGTCAGAAAGTACCTCAGTAGATCCAGTCTGAGCCCCTGTCCTGGGCAGGAAAGAGTGCTGGGGTCAGGTGACCTGATCTAGGTGCTTGTCTAGTCTCCTTTTTAAAGACCTCCCAGGTAGGGGAGAGCACTTCTTCTGTTGAAAGCCCATTTCAGATTTTGGCAACCCTCACCATAAAAATTTTTTTCCTAATGTCTAATCTAAATCTGGTGTCTGGCAGTTTATGGCTGTTGTTCCTAGTAACCCCAAGGGGTGCCCTTGTAAACAGAGTATCCCCTGTTCCTTGCTGTGGGCCCCCTCACCCCCATGAATTTGTAGACTGCCACAAGATCCCCTCTCCACCTTTTTGTGGAGGCTGAAGACATTCAGGTCCCTCAGTCTTTCCTCATAGGATCTTACCTGTAGGCCCATAACCATATGAGTAGCCCTCCTCTGGACCCTCTCAAGGCTATCTGCATTCTTCTTGAAGTGCGGTGCCCTGAACTAGACATGATATTTCAGCTGTGGTCTTACCAATGCTGCATAGAGGGGAAATACCTCCTTAGACTTGCTATTGATGCAACTTCTAATGCATGAGAGTGCAGTTGGCTTTACTTATCACTTTGTCACGTTGACTCATGTTCATTTTGGAGTCTACTATGATTCCAAGATCCCTTTCTGCTGGTGAGCTGCTAAGAAAGTCACCTCCCAGCCTGTAGGTGTGTTGGTGATTCTTTCTCCCTAGATGCAGCACTCAGCACTTATCTTTGTTAAACTGCAGCCTATTCTGGTTCTGCTCATATTCCCAACCTGTCCATATCTGCATGAATCTGCTCCCTGCCCTGCAGTGTATTTACTTTGCCCCATAATTTGGCATCATCTGCAAATTTGGACAGAGTGTTTTCCATGCCTTCACCCAAGTCACTGATTTAAGATATTGAACAGCAGTGGTCCAAGGACTGAACCCTGGGGATCTCCACTGCCAGGTTTTTCCAGGTCAAAAATGACCCGTCCACCACCACCACCCTCTGTGCATGCCCCATAAGCCAATTCTCCAAACACCTGACCATGTAGTAATCTACATCACAACCTCTTAATTTATTTATAAGAATGGGATGCAACACTGCATCAAAGGCCTTTTGAAAATCCAAGTAATAAATAAAAGTAGATGACATCTATCTCAACTCCTGTATCCAAGCATTTTGTGACCTGGTCATAAAAAGAAAAAAAGTTAGTCAGGCAGGATCTATGTGATATGAAGCCATGCAGGTTGCCCTTCAGCAGTGTTTTTCCTACTGGACTCCTACAGATGTGATCCTTAATTTTTTCAAAGGTTTTCCCAAGGATAGAAGTGAGGTTTAACTGGCCTATAGTTGCCTGGATCATCCT